CAGTTTCTCCGTGAGTTCCATAAAGCATAACCAATCCAAGCGCATACTAAAGAAGGTTGCATATGTTGAGAAACGGCGCAAAATAGTTTATCTATGAAGAATTCCTCTGAATATGAAGAGCAAAGTGGTATATTAAAATTCATGCTGTCGAAATCAATTAGTCTGGATTGAAGTTTAGTTGATTCAGTCGTGCGAAAGACAAAGAAAAACCATTTCACAGCTGCAAAAGCACTGGATTTTTTAAATTCTTGAGTAAAGAAAGAGAATATTAATACAAGAGTGCAAAGATCCAATGCAAAGGCTCATAAGCAACCTTCAGACGTTTGCCAGCTTTTCTAATGGAAGAATTCAGCTAACTCTATCACTTGTATACAGAAATAACTTCCCTAAAAAGAATTTGTTACAGCTGACTATCTGGATAATCAAAGTATGTCTATGTTAACCAGTACTTTTTTCTACTTCTTTGAGCTGCTTCTTTGAACCTGAATCGCATTTTGTAAAATATCCAGATTAGAACTTCCGAAGTAGTAACATTTTTTCAAAGAAAGACAAATTTAGAATAGTAGAAAGACCTAAAGAGATGGTACAAATTTTTACACAAGAACTACAGAAACTGTCGATAGTCCAAGATTATTAGACACTATAGACAAAGGCCTTTACGAGATAATCAAAAACTTTAGGAGTGAGAGTGATTAGGGTTCCATTCTTTGCTCTTCCAAAGATTCCGAAATGAAAATTGACAAGGATTCACTTTTTGCTTCTCGAGTCATAGACGTCAGATTAATTTACGCAAAAAAAAAAGGGTTGTGTCCGGAGATATAGATATACTACAGACCAAACACCAACATCAGAAAGCTCTCGTAGCTCAGTTGGTTAGAGCACCCGTTTAGTAAGCGGGAGGTTCTTGAGTTCGACTCTCAACGAGAGCAAATTTTTATTCTTTTTTCCCTGTTTGTTTTCTTATGAAAACTGACAGTGCAGTTATTCAGACCAAACATAAAATATTATTTGACCAAACGTGATGACATAAATACATTCAAAAGATTCTTAGTCGTAGATCCTTTTTTTTTTCCCGCTCTTGGGAATTAATAAAAAAGAACAAACAATTATGATATCATAATGTACTTGAAGATCTCTCCATCATAGAAAAAGTTGCTCCAACGATTGGTTTTTCCATCTCACAATCTATCATCAACGTTGGCTCTGAACGCCAATTTGAAACAACGAAAGAGTGAAGAGAGTCAAAAGTGAGGTGATCTTAGTGCATTTCGATCTCACTTGAGTTCCATAAAGCATAACCAATCTCAAGCTCGGAATTAAAGAATTTTGCGTAAGTTGAAAGACAGACTAAAAATAGTCTGCTTATGATGAATCCTCTGAATACTTAGGAGCAACATTGGTATATAAAATACATATTGCCGATCTAAATTACTAGTTAGGATTGAGAGTCATAATGAAGACAAAGAAAAGCATTGCAGCTGCAAATGAAACATGATTTTTCAAATTCCTGAGTAGGAAAAGACAAGTTAAAACAAAGAATGCAAAGATCAATGCCAAGGCTCATAAACAACAGTTGATTAAAACCAGCCTTTTAATGGAAGAATTAGCTAATTCTATCACTTGTTTACAGCAATAAACTTCCCTAAAAATAATTATTACAGCTGACTACTTGAACTACCCGAGTATGATTTCTATGTTTAGGCAGTATTCTTCTTCTTCTTTGAGCTGCCTACTTCTGATGGCCAAAAGGAATGCCTTCAATAAGAGAAGGATTGTCAATTTCAAGTCGAAATCGAGCCGTTGAAAAACTGCTGAAACATGTGCACATCCACCATGGCTCTATGAGCTGAACCAACTAATGGGATCCCATAGTGTTGACCAAGAGCTTGCAACGAGACTTTTGAGGAACCTTTGCGCCTAATTGAAAAGTGAAAGTAAAAATATCAAATAAGAACTTCCAAAAAGCAATCGGAATTTTTGAAACGAAGACACAAATTTAGACAAGTGGAAAGACCTCCGGACTTCATGACTTCACGTGCCAAAGGAAGAGTATCAACGAACAACCAATTTGGGGGAATATCAAAAGAGCATCTACTGAATTCCTTAATTAGAAAAGGAACATCAAAACCGCGAGCGTTATGCGCCACCAACACCACATATCCACCAGGCTTCTGGCGGTCTTCCACATACCGCAATAAGATGGGAATGAGGTCCCCCATCCTGAAAAATGCAAAGCAGAGTATGAGAGCCAAAATAACTCTAACCTCAAGATTAATGATAATAACAGATAAAGATATATTGTTCTATTATAAAAAAGAATACACAAGCTTCTCTGCTAACCAGCCAAAGGTGGATATTTTATACGTGCATTATAAGAAGAAACTTATTCCCAAAACAAGGTAAAATGGAACATATACTCTATTCCACACCATAGACAGGCCATTCAATGTGTGTGTGAATAGTTGAGTCTGTTGTATACCACTTGATTTCTTGGCTCTTGTATTAATTCAGTCAAAAGATGGTTCTGCATGTACATCTCCAAGGAGAGAACAGAACTTTATTTGAGACTTCGAATTTGCTAGGTCTTACGACCAGAATTCCGCAAAAAGAAAATTAATCCACGACTTAGCTATTCATGATTGAAGTTGCCACAACCAGGAATTGTTTAATTTCGATGATATATTTAAGCAGGATTGTTCATCAGAGTAAAGAGACACAATATGATACAACAGGCAAGAAGAAAGGATATACACCACAGATTCAACAATACATATGAGGTGATATACGGCTATGCAGAATGGTGTGACTATTACCTTTACTTCAATACCACTATCATAAAAGGAGTCATACAGTAGCCTATTCTAGAGGAGTAAATTGATATTTTCCAGCGTTTACTTCACTTTTATTCAGCCAAAGGCTGTTTTAATTTCTCACGACACTGAGTCTAGTTTATTATAAGTTTGTCTGATAATTAGTAAATATCGGCATATTACATCCATGATTAAGAGCAGGGCAAATATGAAAGTATATAATCTCATCTAGAGAGTAATTCACCAAGGATGCACTAATATGTCGGATAGTTCACTTCTCAAATGAAGTCTTTTCCTTAGCATTGGAAATTAAATAATGTCATTATGACACAAGCAGAC